GCCCTGAAATTTCTTCTATCGCGATGAATGGGCGTTCTCTCAGAGAGGTCCTCTATCTTGAGCGCCTTTTGGAATTTAAGCCCAAACCATGCCTCAAGTGGAAATCGTACGTTAGATCCATGTCTAAGTACCTGGTTCCTACTATCCTCTTCCTTTACAAGATCCACATCAGACTGAAAATAAAGCTCTAATGCTATAAATGTCTTCGATTTCCAGTTTCGATAGATTGATATGCAGCGGACTTTACGCCAAAGTTTCAGACAAACAAGGTTTACCATTGACTTGATCTGAAGAATAACCTCCGCGCTTCACGCTATACCAGTCGCTGCTCTTAACACGTAAAAACGTGGTCAACCCAACTGCGCTTAGGATATGCAAGCATGGAACAAACCACATTAAAGGCAGATATATAAAACCCCACCTGAGAGGGAAAAAATAAAGAGTCTCTTACGCCCCGGCGTGATGTAGAATCGGAAAAAAGACCACAAAAGTCACCCCCCACTTAACAGTTGAATGCAATGTAATGTTACGGGTGGACAGATTTAGTCATAGATAACGCTTATGTAGTTTAACATTTTCTATATAAATAGGAGCAAAGTGCTAGTTATAGGAGATAGAGCGTTAATAAATATAGACAGTGTGAACACAGAAATCCAACAATTTCAACTGTAAAATGATGGGACCTAACTGTCAATCTAGTATTATCAGCACAATTAACATGAAGATATTTATAGAAAAGGTATAGGGAAGCTTCGTTTCGGCAGTGAGAAAGTAACTGAAGCCGAGATGCCTGGTCCGGATCGGTAAAATAGCATATTCTTTTTTGGATGATGTGTGGCAGCAGTATTCAAAGCATGGCCGAATTGTAGACTTATAAATATGCAAGATAGATTCTGGAGATAAAAATTGTCTAGCACGAGACAGTGAACCAGTAGCAGACCTAGCAATTGATTCAATACAATCTTTCTATTTTAAGTTAGCGGAAAATGTTAGCCCTAGACGCGTCACTCGCCTGGAAGTTAACATCAGCCATGCTGATGGAAGGCAGAATGGGGTCTCTCAGATGATTGATAGAGAGCAGTTTCGTTTGGAAGGCGTTAAAATTAACAAGCCATTCATTGCCCCAGTTAACTGCAGATTGGAGGTCATTTTTGAGATCAGCTGCCAATTTGACCTTATCGATCTGATCAGACTTACTGTTGAGACAGGAGTAAATGGTTACGCCATCAGCATAGATGCCAAGTTGAGAAGTGATGCTATCATTATGGTCATTGATGAAAATTAAGAACAGCGTTGGTCCAAGGATAGAGATGAGATATGGCAACAATATTCCATGCAAGTTGAGTTATAAAAGTGTAAGAAATTCCTGCGAGAAAAATGGTCTAGTACGACTCAGTGAACTAGTTTTGTTTCTCGCAGAAAACCTAGCAACTGATTCGATGTAATCACTTCATGTCGGTAGAAAGCGTTAGACCAAAAAAGGCACAATGAGATATTAAAAAAATATATATCTTTTCTTTCTCACCACAATTTGCGTGAAAATCGTCATCTTTTAAAGAAATAATAATCACACCTTAGGCTAAGTGTCCATGATGAATAAAACGGTACGTGTGGGGTAAAGAGACAAGTGGATAGAGCGAGAATAGAAACGGACGGGAGTCAAGCGATCAGCATCGTGTCTTTTTCACCTCTGTGCGCCGTCAGATGTCGCTTTCATCGGTCGCTTACGAGATATTTGAAACTCGTGACCGCCGACGAGATGTTAATGGCGAATTGATAGCCGGTTTCTTTGTCGAATCAAGATTGCAAACAGTTAAACAATACTATAAATTATTCATTGTAACTGACACTGGATTTAGGCGTAGAACATTGAGAGGGTGACATTTAAATAAGGGTTGGGGAATGGCGTATCCACTTTTCGCTGAACGAACGTCTGTTCTATTCTCCTGGATGCAGTAAACAAGAAACATTCAGGTCCCGCATATTTTTGCGTGCTAGAATTTTCACGGATTTCACTTCTGGAATAGGATTTCGGCTCTCCGTGTGGTTACACGTATATTGCTAATTAAGCTTAATTGACAGCAGATTTCGTCAATATTCTTGTACTCCCTTCAGCAGTCTAGATAACAGCAGTGATTCGCTATCGGATTTCCAATTACTCTATTCTTATCGCAAGGATTTTCGAGATTGTTCCCAGTGCTCCAAAAACGACTGGCACAACTGTAATCTTTAAATTCCAAAACCTTTCTCTTCAGTATACTAGCTATTAACAATGAATCGCTCTCGGATTTTTAATTTCTCCAAGCTTTTCGCTAGGCTATTCAAGATCGCTCCCAAAACGACTGTCACCTTCAAATTTCTAAAATTATTTCTTCAGTATTCTAGCTGTTAGATACAATTCACTCTTGTATCTTCAGTTTCTTCAAGCTCTTCGTTAGGCTTCTCAAGATCGCTCCCAGTACTCCAAGAACGACTGGTACAACTCTCACCTTCAAATTTCAAAGCTTATCACTTCAGTATTTTAGCTGTTAGAAACGATCCATTTTCGGAATTCAATTCCCCCAAGATTTTCGCTAGGATTTCAAGATTGCTCCCAGTACTCCAAGGACGACTGGCACAATTGTCATTTTCAAATTCCATAATTTTCCTCTTCAATATTCTAGCTATTAGCAATGATTTGCCTTCGGTTTTCTAATTCTTCCATGTCTGTTGCTAGGCTTGTTGAGATTTCTCACAGTGTTCCACAAACGACTGGCACAACTACCAAATTCCATAATCTCTTTCTGCAATGAACTAGTTATTACCAATGCCACGGAATGGAATGAGTGAAATAAGAAAAGAAATATTGGAGAAAGAAAACGACTAAAAACAGAAAGGAAAAAGGAAAACAAAAGAGAAAAACAAGGACTCGTTAATCATTACTAACAAAATAAGAAAAAAAAAAAAAAAAAAACCAGCAAAAACAAACAGAAAGGGCCAAATTATTTAAAGTGAAGAAGAATTAATAAGTTCAAAAGAAAAATTATAAAAACTTTTGAAAAGTAAAGATGAACGAAGAATCGCCAATAGAAAAGTTTTAAAAATTGAAAGTAAATTTTCTGAATTCCGTATTTTTCAAACGACGTCACACAGGCCGCATCCTATTTGGTTTATTGCCGCTATTAATCATCCATTAAAGGCATCGACATCCACTCAATATACAGAGTTAATGAAAGCCGTTGTTTTATAGATGCAAGAATTGTATATTATGAGGATATGTAGGATAGATAATGGTTGACCCTAGACTTGAAGATTGTAAGAACCATCATCTTGGGAATCTGTGCCATAAAGTAGGAGTCCTTGGGAAGAAGCTGTCTGAATGGAATTTCCTTCTTGTCAATTGAATACGAAGGGAATGTGAAAGGTTTGCGTCAGATAGATAACAAACATATTGCGAAATGTAGATAGATAGATAGATAACGGACATACATCGAAATATAGATAGATAACGAATATACTGCGAAATATAGATAGATAGATAACCAACATACTGCGACATATAGATAGATAGATAGATAACCTACATATTGTGAAATGTAGATAGATAGATAACCAACATACTGCGAAATATAGATAGATAGATAGATAGATAACGGAAATACATCGAAATATTAGATAGATAGATAGATAGAAAGATAGGTAGATAACGGACTTACTTCGAAAGATAGATAGATAGATAGATAGATAGATAACGAACATACTGCTAAATATAGATAGATAACAAACATACTGCGAAATATAGATAGATAAATGGCAAACTTCGAAATATAGATAGATAGACAGACAGATAGATTTGAAAAGTAGATTGCTGAATGAAGGTATTGTAAGGATGGAAAAGGATGAAGCAATGTGCATATTATGAGGATATGTAGAGAAGATAACGGTTGACCCTAGACTTGAAGAAGTTAAGATTGTAGAACCATCATTTCGGGAATCTGTGCCATAAAGTAGGAGCTCTTGGGAAGAAGCTGTCCAAATGGAATTTCCTTCTTGCCAATGGAATACGAAAGGAATGTAAAAGGTTTGCGTCTGTGTACATGGCCTGGAGGGTTCTAGCTGTAAAGGTTTGAACAGGTGGAATTAAGTAATGTACCACATGAGAACATTTGCCATGAAAATAACGATAGAGTGGCGATAGAGTTCCGACGTTGCATCCCTGGGAAAGGTGTTTTAGGGTGGAAAATAATTCATCACCTACGCTTTACCAATCTGCCAAGGCTGGAAAGGGCAGCTCCAGTCCAGATGTGGCAGCTATTGTCCATTTTGTTTTGATTTGACACGCTTAATGATAGAGCATGGAAGGTAGAGTTAGGTACTTTCTGGAATAAGGCGACCATTTATTCCCGTATCTGTAGGGATGGATCGTATATGTGAGTTCCACTGGAGGCTTATTCTTTACGTCTTATCTGAGTTGCTTACTAAAGATCGTAGAACGTCGGCCTGAGAGTCTCTATAAAATGTCTTTGGAATTAAGATGAAATAAAATGGGCAGAATAGTAACTAAATGAAGAAGAAACTAGTAGAAGAAATGAAACAAAAGGATAGAATGAATCTATGAATGAGTCAAGAAGGAAATACGAATGAATGAAAAGTAAAAGAAAGTAAAAAAAATAGAGAGAAAAAAAAAGAAATTTGATACGAAGAAAAACAAACAGTAAAAGATAATAAAATAAAAAATAAAATAAAGTAAAAGAACTAAGAGGCACACAGATGGACAGACACACAGACACCGAGTAGAATAGACATAAATTTCTGGTTGGACAAGAAAATAAGTATTCCGACAGAAAAAAGGAGATGGGACCTCTTTTTTCACCCAAAATGTGGCGGGAATTTATAGGCGTAAAATAAAAATTTATGATCGAATTTTGGACACGCTTCTTTTTTGTGAGATGGATGGAAGTCGAGTGTGTTAATTGGACAAGTCTTGAACGTATGGCTTAAAAAGTAAAGTGCAATATTGTTTCTCATTGGCTTGTTGGATCACGTGATCAACAGAAAGAGAAATAGAGTAAAAAAAAAGACAAGTACGAAAGTGAGAAGGAGAGGAAGAAGAGATTGATTGATTTGTGTGTTTTTTACGGTTTATCAACCATTTTCAGGGTTCCTTTTAAACCCGAAACATATTTTGGCTTGTAAGAATAACTCTCTCTCTCTTTTGGCGAGTGAATATTACATTAACGATATTTTCGGAGATATTTCTTTTTTCACTCACAATTCCTACTCCTATTTAACCCATAGCTGTAGGAGAAGAAATGGATTTTTCATTCTCAGCCGTTATCCATTACACCACCCGTACATTCAAACTTACAGCACCTGCTATTCCCAAGTGGTCACCCATCTAGGCACTGACCAGACACGACGTTGCTTAATCGGACAAAACTGGTGTCTCAGCGTGAGATGTCCGGAAGGCAACAGAAAAAGAAAGAAAAAATGTAAAGACCTATAAATTATATTGATGCTATACTTATATATATATATATATATATATATATATATATATATATATATATATATATTGAATTTGTTTTTTTTTGTTGCCATTTCAGATCTTGGCAAGATGATCTACAATCCCCACTATGCAAGTTTGGTTTGCTTGTCAAATTGTACTTGTCCGGTGGTATATAAGGTAATCATCTGATTACTGAAAGTTACTGGCCACCTGAAGATCAGGTAGTTAGGCAGCTGGAACCCGGACGAGGCTATACCGAAGGGCAGAGTCTCGTCCGGGGAGGTAGACAGACCCGACCGTGTTTATGCGTGGTCTACGGGGAATTTTCGGCCGAGCCTACGAGCTCGGATTGCCCCACATTCAGTTCGCCCTTGTGACACATCCTACCTCGTGGGGAGGTTGGTAAATATTACTGGATACCTGAAGATTGTGTGCAAACACATGAAATATTATAAAATATATATATATATATATATATATATATATATATATATATATATAATTTTGTTCATAAATTAACTTATAAATGTTCTATTATATATATATATATATATATATATATATGGTGGTACTCGTTTAGAAAAATCTCTGAGAGCTCAACTTGCAGTAGAACAAAAGAGGAAAAATGGGAAATAAAAAAAAGAAGGAACCAAGAACATTGAAACAAGGTGAAAAAAACCAAGTGTTTAAGCTCCAAGTCCAAAGAAAAAAAACCCCAAAACGAGTAAAAAAAAAAACTACGTAAAGTGCTCAATACACTAAGCAGACCGATAAGTAGAGCTGTTGTACCCTGAAGATCCATTTAGGGTAAACCTGGGTGGGTTTTATACAAATACACGCCCCATATATATATATATATATATATATATATATATATATATATATATATATAGATATCATGAAATGGACAAAGTCCGACAATTATTTTAAGACATTTTTTAGTTTATACATTCTTTTTTATAAAAAAATGTATAAACATGAAAATGACTCTGTCCATTTCATAATATGTGACGTCATTTATTTACATTTGGATACGCATCGAGCAGATATGAATTTACGTGAGAAAATCATGGAAAATTGTAGTTTAAAAAGACCTTGCTAACCGAACCGCTCATCTGTGGCGAAATCGGTAAAAGCACGTCAGGTTATATGTGTAGGATACAGGTTCGATTCCTGTCGGAGGACGCATATTTTCTGACAATTTCTCGGACATTCAGCCCGGTAAATGTTGTTAATACTGTCAAATATTTGTATCTATAAAAAAGAATGTATAAACATAAAATGTCTTTTTATATATATATATATATATATATATATATATATATATATATATATATATATATATATATATATATAATAGCGCAGCGTGAGTGCTTGTACTAATGAGACAGAGCTCGATGTAAAAAAATAACAGTGCTAAAATATACCAATTAATAATAAATATATAACAAATTTATCGGTGTAGTCATCACTATTCTTTAATTCATATCATTTGGTAGAAACCAGAAAAATGCCAGTCATCATAGAAAATGTCGAACAACAGAACTAAATTACCAAATTGCAGAACAGACAGGATGCAAAGATCAACCAGTTCCATGAATAAAGAGTGGCTGAATTGAAAATCAAAAGCAAAGTCATTGAAACTGAGCTACATTGGAGAAAGAAGATCTGTTTTACATGCTACACAAGATACTTAGTGGAACTATATGACTTTCTATTTATCTGTATGAGCTTTTGGAAAGTGTCGGAAAACAATAGCACAGGTTGACCCAAGCTCTGTGGGTGAAATTGCGTAGACGGACGGCATCGATTGTTCTACCAGGATGAAGTCACAAGCACAGACATTGTTGAAAGAGATGATCATGGCAGATCATGGGCTCTCTCCACGAAACTGTAACTTAGGTCCACTCATCAGAGTTACTTTATAAGCTACATGTGTGCTCTGTGTGTGTTGACCAAACACAAATGTGCCTGAGCATGTGTCTGCAACAGCGATTGCGTAGCCATTCTAAAAGACGGTTGTGCTCAGAAAACGAGATTAGACAGTTATTATATATATATATATATATATATATATATATATATATATATATATATTAATTTGGATTTTCGAGTTGCATAATAAAATCAGACAGCACCAAGTTATTGTAAATATTTCTACTCAAAACACATGTTAGAAGCAGAAATTCACATGCTATATTTTTATCATATAAGTATATGGTTGGTTAGAACCAAATTTGTAATGAAAAGAGTTGTTACCAACCATGGCTGAAGAATTTAGTCTGTCTTATTATTTAACCCATAGGTGGGGGCATGGAGAGACAAGATGGATTCGAGCGTTTCATTCGGGTATTTGCGAGAATGTGAATATAACGAACAATTGTAATTCGAACACGGCTCTATGGCTTGCTGTTTAGTGCCGCTAACCACTACACCAACGCGCGCACATACACACACACGCACACACACACACACACACGCGCACACACACACACACATATATATATATATATATATGACACACAAACAGAATGTCTCATATCGAGAATATTCCACATTGAACATGAAGAAAAATTAATTATTTTTAATAATATGTAAAAATCTCCACTTTCACCTGAAGACGGTTGCGAGACCAGACCAGAAACACGTGTCGTGAAATTATGTAAAACAAAGTCTAATATTTTTTCTCAATAAATCCACATTACAACCAAAAACGTTTGCGGCACCCTCTTTTTTTAATATATATATATATATATACACGCATACTTAGGAACGTCGATAAACTGGAATATATATATATATATATATATATATATATATATATATATATATATATATATATATATAAGAGTTTGAGATAAGTACATTTAAGTGAGTTTGTGCCTGCACGCGCCATCTTTCACTTCTTTTATGTTCAGAGGAACCTCACAAATTCTTGTTATGGGCAAACAGGAATAAAACAACAAAGAACTCCCAAAACAGCAAATACGCCACCGAAACAAATAAAGAAAAAAAAACGTTTTTTTTTTTTTTTACTTTTCCTTTCTTTGAGATCACAAAATGCAACAAATGGCCAGAAAAAAAAAAGTAAAAGAGAAAAGACGGGCCACGAACGCCGTAATTTTCTTTGGCTTCATTGAATAATGTGGGCCGCTTAGAATACAGGCAAACGAAGAGACGTGCTGGACGAAAACTTCGGAAGAAGCCATAATAATGTTGCGCAGTGTTAAATTCTTTTGCCCTTTTTATTTTTTCTTATTTTTTTTCTTTCTCTCTCTCTCTATCTTTCTTTCTTTCTTTACTATTTGATTTTTAAAAATCTTTTTTCTGTCTTTAAATTCCCCCGTTGTTGTCTGATTGCTTGCTTGTTTCATTCTTTCTTTAGTTCTTTAACATCTGATTAAAAAAAAAACAAACTTTTTCTTGTTTTTTAAATTGCCTCATTTTTTGTTTGTCTAGCTGGTTGGTTAGTTGGTTCTTTCTTTCTTTCTTTCTTTTTCTTTCTTTTTTCTTTCTTTCTTTTTTCTTTCTTTCTTGACTTTCTGATTTAAAAAAAAAATCATTTTTCTGTCTTTAAATTGCGCCGTTGTTGTTTGCTTGCTTGTTCTTTTCATTCTATATCATCTGATTAAAAAACAACAACAACTTTCCCGTCTTTAAATGACACTATTTTTTGTTTGTTTGATTGTTTGGTTGGTTGGTTCATTCTTTCTTTCTTTTTCGATTTTCAAATAAAATTTTTCTCCCGTATTTCTTTAGAAACTCACTTTTCATTTCTTTCTTCTTTTCGCCTTTTATTTAGTTCCTTTTTCGACGACTTCTCACCCTTATTAAATGCGATCCTGAACAGCAGTGAAAATTCCACATATATTTCGAAAAGAAACGAAATGGAAATGCGGAAGAATTACATTAAAATTATCATTAATTATATAAAAAAAAATAAACATCTTTTTATAAGTATCTGTAAAGAATGTTTTTAATATTCATCTTCGACACGTCATCATCACAATTTCATCGCCATTATAACAGTTTCTATTCAACCAAACATTAACCTGATTTATATAAATACTTTCCAAAATTTCCTGACGCCATCTTTTGTAAATTATTAGGGAAATCTTAAAAGTGTCTTTCAAGTTTACTCATCTATTTATTGCATATACAATCTACCAAACCTTGTACGTCATTTAAAAGATCCAGAAAAAAAAAATTCAAAATTATTAACTTACAGAAACGGATATTAGTCAGCATTTTAAAAAAATCGTTTTTCTTTTTCAGCTCAACGGAAAAGAAATATTATTTTTTAAACGGTCACTAGCGATGAAAAGTGAATTTGAGTGAGTTAAAAATTAATAAAGTCCTGGTATTGAACTCACAACTCTTTGGGGCTAGTCACTGGATCTAACCAAAGGGCTCGGTTCGAAATTCCAATCACCTGAAGAAAGCCGGACCGTAAAACGGCCGAAACGTTGTGAATATGGCAATGACGATGAGAATAACAGTCAGAATAATGTAAATAATGCAAGTAATCATAATACCTCATCTCAGAGATATAGACAGATACTGAAGGCATGGCACGTGGAACTAGAACAATCTACCCCAGTGGACGAAATAGGGGTTCGGTTTGAAATTCCAGTCACCTGAAGAAAGCAGGAACATACAACGGCTGAAAAGTTGGGAATATGGCAATGAAGATGAGGATAACAGTCCGAATAATGTAAATAATGTAAGTAATTATTTTTTATGTTCAGTAGTTTTCAAACGTGATACTTTATTATAAATTAATGTTGATTTTTGGTTGATTTTGTTTAGCGGCTTATTAATACCACTATGGATCATTTAATGTCGAAATGTAAACATTTTGAACACATTTTGGTTTCAACTAAATATATTTTGAACGCAATTGCATGCATTTAACTACAGATAAATATGTATAGTTGGTAATTTCTACTATAAAATGTATTGTTGGTCATTTTGCTATGAATATGTATTGTTGGTAATTTTACTATAAATATGTATTGTTGGTAATTTTGCTATGAATATGTATTGTTGGTAATTTTACTATAAATATGTATTGTTGGTAATTTTGCTATAAATATGTATTGTTGGTAATTTTACCATAAGCATGTAGTGTTGGTAATTTTACTATAAGTATGTATTGTTGGTCATTTTGCTATGAATATGTATTGTTGGTAATTTTACTAACAAAATGTATTTTTATACTGTCATAATGTTTAGAAGTTTACTATTTGCCCATAGCTGGGACCTTAACGGGTGCTACCCACCTCACTGTGATATGCAGAAACTAGTACGATTACAGCGATCAAGTAGCTCAAAAACGCATTGGAAAAAAACAAAAATCCTTTTTCTGAGGACGTGGCTTAACCGGTAATTTTGTTGCAAGATAACACTTGTCCTTAAGTATAAAATGCAGAGAATGATTCAGGAGCTGGGTTGGCACATTCACTGCATAAAATATATTCTAAATATAAAACGCAATCGGCAGACACGATGGCCTGACGATTACGTTTAAACATGAATCGGACTGTCGCTGCTGGGTGTTGACTTTAATGTCCCTTTTTTATATTTGCATACGCTCTATCTCTGATATTGAGCACCTTTATTGAGCATAGCGTAAAACTATATTTTTATCATATAATATATTCCATAAACATTTTTGTCTTTCATTCGCGTAGATAACCAGGAAACCTAAAGTAGACAAGAGAACAACTATTTGGACATTTACGAAAACAAACCGAAAAAAGGACAAACCAATCGACACGGACATAGCTGCATAGATGAAATGTTAAGACGGTAAATGAATCGCTTTTAATAGCAGCCTAAAACCAAACAATAGCAAGAAACATTCCTATAAAGGCCAAGATAGATAAAACACAGGTTAACAGTAAATACAGACAATGAACTACATATTCAAGGAATGTATCCAAATAGTCTAGAAAGTATGAAAGAATAGGCATGACTGGGTAGGAAAGGTGATCCAATGGTAACTTTGCAAATGACTACATTTTTATTACACAGACCAATTTATAAGTACAGATCGGAATCTATTCTAGAGAATTAAACACATTCAGGCAAGAAGAACAGACCTCTTTGCCGGAAATAAAGAGAAAGGAAAATGCGAGATAATAGATTTCATTCTTACGGCAGATCACACAACAGGAAAGAGGAAAGAATATATAAATTTAAGCGTGCTACTAGATTGGCAACTAGGTCCCACCCGTTTACTGTTGAAATAGCTAAATGCAACCGCCACTGCTACTCCAGCAGTTTCTTTTCTCGCACTTCTCGCCTGTGGAAATCCCATCCGTTTACTTGCTTCCCTGATAACTACAATATTAAAAAATTCAAATGCAACGTCAATCGCTATCTTCTATCTTCAATCCCGTTCATTTTTGTCCTTTCCTCAATCCTCCCTATTTTCAGTCTTCTTTTTCATTTTCACTCTCTCTAGTACACATGGGGGGGGACTAGTGGCATTTTCGCATAGATTGGGGGGGAAATGAGTAAAAAATATCACGACCATGCCAAAGACTTGAGGATGCTACGAAGCAGTGATACCAGTCATTATCAGAGCACTGAAAATGTTGTCGAAAAGCATTGAAAAGAGACTAAAGAGGTTGGTAATTAGGAAAAGAATAGGAATCATTTAGAAGACGGAATTATTGAAAACAGAATACTGAGGAGAGTTCTGAAGTATTGAAGAGATTTGTTTTCATTTAAGCTTCAGAGTCGATCATCAGTTACTACTGGTGAGAACTGAGGGAAGTGATTCCCTAATAAAAACAGGAAACTCCAATAAATTTCCAGAGAAATAAAAAATTGGTAGCACGTAAGAACAAGTATATTCCCCATGATAATTCGATCATATTTCTCAAATGTTTGAGATTAGGTTACTTTGTGATTTCGTATTAGCTTCAGAGCAGGTCCGTATACCCAATTTCACGTATAAGGCTTGGGTGAAGCCATGGTATGCTTCCCAGAAACTTTCCAGTGGTGTTACTCATTGGAGTCGCCTCTCCAAGCCTATAAGAAGAAGAAGTTACTTCTTGGCCATTATGAGGTCCGAACCTGGGTTTCATGGTCGGACAGCAAACATTCCAACCACATGGCCGAGAGGTTAGAACGTTCGCATTCTGAGCATGAGACCCGTGTTCGAATCTCACCATGGTCGATTTGTCAGGGAGGTGTCGATCCTAGCGGGAGGGTCCTTTGAAAAGTGCATGAAAACCATACCACGGTGTGACCCAAGCCTTGTGAGTGAAATTAGGCAGATGAAAATCTTGGAGGCCGTCGATAAGTTTGAGGGCTTGAGCGTGCTGGCCTTGTTTAAATTTTTGATTACCATAGATAACACGCACTCCCCCCAGAAACTGTAACTAAGGTCTGCTTAGCATAGTTGCAGTATAAACCACAGGTGGGCTCTGTAGGTGTTGAATAAACACAAATGCGCTTGAGTAAGCGTCTGCAATCAGGGATTGGCTAACCGCCCTAGTTGACGGGTGTCCTCGAATACGAGTGGCCAGCTACACACACACATATATTTGAAAGTAAACATGGAAGTCAACACCCAGAGGTGAGATTGTGTTTCATGCTTAAACGCAATCATCAGGCCTCTGGGTGTTGATTTCAGTGTCAAAGTTTTTTTATTTTTATTTTTTTATATACGCTCTATTCCTCATACTGAGCACTTTAATCCACAAATATGGCACACCTTTAAACTATATTCTATCACACACACACACACACACACACACACACACACACACACACACACACACATATATATATTCTGTTTATACGTTATTCTTATTTTAAATCGAAAAATATACTAAAATAATTGTCGACTTAATCTATTTCATTATATATATATATATATATATATATATATATATATATAGTGATGAATGTGGGTACACATACGTATGTATGTATTTATATATATATATTGTTATATATTTGTACTCGTGTATGTGTACTCAAATGTATATAAGTCTATCCTACTCCTCTTAAATTTTATCTATTGAGCCCTCTTTTTATCAATATATATTTGCCCATGTAAGTAATATTTTAATAGTCTGTTTGAATTGGTTTACTAACACTTTCAAATTTGAATCTTTGTAGGTGTGTATATGTGTGTGTCTTTATTAATGAATGTGTGTATGATCGCTTATGCATACCTTTCATTGTATGT